AGGCTATTACAACAACCAAAGCAATTGCAAAATCCAAAAGATGGGTGAACAAGGCGTACAGAATGTCTATAGCTTCAGATACTAGTATATGTTTGCTAACAAGGTCATTACTACAACCAAGACAATTGCAAAATCCTAAAGATGGGTGAACAAGGCGTACAGAATGTCTATAGCTTCAGATATACTTTTGCTAACAAGGCTATTACAACAACCAAAGCAATTGCAAAATCCAAAAGATGGGTGAACAAGGCGTACAGAATGTCTATAGCTTCAGATACTAGTATATGTTTGCTAACAAGGTCATTACTACAACCAAAGCAATTGCAAAATCCAAAAGATGGGTGAACAAGGCGTACAGAATGTCTATAGCTTCAGATATACTTTTGCTAACAAGGCTATTACAACAACCAAAGCAATTGCAAAATCCAAAAGATGGGTGAACAAGGCGTACAGAATGTCTATAGCTTCAGATACTAGTATATGTTTGCTAACAAGGTCATTACTACAACCAAAGCAATTGCAAAATCCAAAAGATGGGTGAACAAGGCGTACAGAATGTCTATAGCTTCAGATATACTTTTGCTAACAAGACTATTACAACAACCAAAGCAATTGCAAAATCCAAAAGATGGGTGAACAAGGCGTACAGAATGTCTATAGCTTCAGATATACTTTTGCTAACAAGACTATTACAACAACCAAAGCATTTGCAAAATCCAAAAGATGGGTGAACAAGGCGTACAGAATGTCTATAGCTTCAGATACTAGTATATGTTTGCTAACAAAGTCATTACTACAACCAAAGCAATTGCAAAATCCAAAAGATGGATGAACAAGGCGTACAGAATGTCTATAGCTTCAGATACTAGTATATGTTTGCTAACAAGGTCATTACTACAACCAAGGCAATTTCAAAATCCTAAAGATGGGTGAACAAGGCGTACAGAATGTCTATAGCTTCAGATATATTTTTTCTTACAAGGCTATTACAACAACCAAAGCAATTGCAAAATCCAAAAGATGGGTGAACAAGGCGTACGGAATGTCTATAGCTTCAGATATACTTTTGCTAACAAGGTCATTACAACAACCAACGCAATTGCAAAATCCAAACGATGGGTGAACAAGGCGTACAGAATGTCTATAGCTTCAGATACTAGTATATGTTTGCTAACAAGGTCATTACTACAACCAAAGCAATTGCACAAGCCAAAAAATGGGTGAACAAGGCGTACAGAATGTCTATAGCTTCAGATATACTAGTACTTTTGCTAACAAGACTATTACAACAACCAAAGCAATTGCAAAATCCAAAAGATGGGTGAACAAGGCGTACAGAATGTCTATAGCTTCAGATACTAGTATATGTTTGCTAAAAAGGTCATTACTACAACCAAGGCAATTGCAAAATCCAAAAGATGGGTGAACAAGGCGTACAGAATGTCTATAGCTTCAGATATACTTTTGCTAACAAGGCTATTACAACAACCAAAGCAATTTCAAAATCCAAAATATGGGTGAACAAGGCTTACAGAATGTCTATAGCTTCAGATATACGTTTGCTAACAAGGTCATTGCAACACCCAACGCAATTGCAAAATCCAAACGATGGGTGAACAAGGCGTATAGAATGTCAATAGCTGCTTCAGATATACTTTTGCTAACAAGGCTATTACAACAACCAAAGCAATTGCAAAATCCAAAAGATGGGTGAACAAGGCGTGCAAAATGTCTATAGCTTCAGATATACTTTTGCTAACAAGGTCATTACTACAACCAAGGCAACTGCAAAATCCAAAAGATGGGTGAACAAGGTGTACAGAATGTCTACAGCTTCAGATATACTTTTGCTAACAAGGCTATTACAACAACCAAAGCAATTGCAAAATCCAAAAGATGGGTGAACAAGGCGTGCAAAATGTCTATAGCTTCAGATATACTTTTGCTAACAAGGTCATAACACCCAACGCAATTGCAAAATCCAAACGATGGGTGAACAAGGCCTACAGAATGTCTATAGCTGCTTCAGATATACTTTTGCTAACAAGGCTATTACAACAACCAAAGCAATTGCAAAATCCAAAAGATGGGTGAACAAGGCGTACAGAATGTCTATAGCTTCAGATATACTTTTGCTTACAAGGTCATAACACCCAACGCAATTGCAAAATCCAAACGATGGGTGAACAAGGCCTACAGAATGTTTATAGCTGCTTCAGATATACTTTTGCTAACAAGGCTATTACAACAACCAAAACAATTGCAAAATCCAAAAGATGGGTGAACAAGGCGTGCAAAATGTCTATAGCTTCAAATGTACGTTTGCAAATAAGGTCATTACAACAACCAAGGCAACTGCGAAATCCAAAAGATGGGTGATGAACAAGGCGTACGGAATGTCTATAGCTTCAGATATATTTTTGCTAACAAGGCTATTACAACAACCAAAGCAATTGCAAAATCCAAAAGATGGGCGAACAAGGCGTGCAGAATGTCTAAAGCTTCAGATATTTAGAAATCATTTTTGAATTAAGGATTTAGGATGAAGTTTCTGATTTGGCAGACATTCTTGCCAAATTTCAGCAACATTTCATCAACAGTTCACCAGAAGATGTGATGTGGAATGACTTCAAAAACATCTGCACCCATTCCATTAACGCACTTGTTCCATTAAAGTTCACTTCAAGCCTGAAACAATCTACCATGGTTTGATCGAAACATCCGAATTAAGACTTAGCAGAAGGAAACGACGCGCACATGGGAAGGCCTGCATAACAAACACCAAAAAGGTCTGGCGAAAATACAATACCTTGAGGCCCAGAATACCAAAAGAAAAGGGTGTAGAAAGTCGTACATCAAATTCATCAACAATATGGTAGGAGAGGAGGGTTAAATCAACAAAAGCTATACTCTTACATCAAGAGCAAGCGCCGTAACAGTTCAGGCGTCTCCCCTTTGCGGAATGAGGGTTAACTTCATTCCAGTCCAAAGAATACTGCAGAGATCTTGATCTTTTCATCCGTCTTCCATACAGAGTCATTTCATAACCTACCGAACCTTGGTCAACCAACCTACCAAGCGGTAAAAAACATCAACGTCATGGAAAAAGGTGTCCTCAAACTACTGTATAACCTGAACCCTAACAAGGCTAGTGGACCGGGGAAAATATCAGCCAGATATTTGAAAACAATGGCATCATCAGTGTCTCCTATACTTACATCATATTCCAGCATCATTTGACCAAGGGAACGTCCAAGATGATTGGAAGACAGCATATGTCATCCATTATTCAGGAAAAGAAACAAATCCAAGGTATATTTAACTGTTGTCCAGTGTCTCTTACATCTGTTTGCTGAAAGACTCTGGCGCATATATTCATAGCCATGCCACTGATCATCTCGAGAGAAATAACATCCTTTCTGACCAGTACCATGGCTTCATAAAGAGACGACCATGAGAAAGCCGGTTACAACAATCCATGATCTAGCAAGCAGCTTTGACCAACGTCAACAGGTTGACGCATTGTAACTTGACTTTAGCAAAGCCTTTGACAAAGTTCCCTACCATTGTGTAGCGATCAAACTGGAGCACTGTGGTGTGAAAGGAGAGACACTGGAATGGGTCAGACGCGTTCTGGCTGAAAGAAGCTATCAAGTAGCTGTTGATGGGGAGATGTCATCAGCTTCTATGCTTCAACAACTCAGTCTTGATACCCTGCTGTCCAGATTTATAACAGCACGAGCCACCATGATGTACATGATTGTAAATGACCTAATAGACATACCATCCAGTCATCTACATCCTACAAACAGTACACCAGAGGACATGCTTTGAGGTTTTTACAACCATTCTGCCACCTCAAATTCTAACAGGACTCCTTCCCAGCCGGAGAAGTGATCATGAATTCTTTACCATCATCCATGGTCACAGCCGATTCACTTGAGGCCTTAAGTCCCGAATCAACTCCTACTCATTTTATGAATACATGTATTGATGCTTTTATCCAGATTTTAAAGGGGCCTTCCTCGGCGTGATTTAACCTTTTATATGTGTGCGATAATGCCAAGCATTGGTGCCATGCAAAATAATGGAAGAAGAATATAAGCGATATTTGGGCAAGGATCCTACATTACATTTTCGATCCGAGTCGTGATGCTACTGATGCTTTGTATTGAGCAGGTATAACGAGTTCATAATCAAAGTGGTATTAAGAATAACCCGACAATTTGGGTGTGAAAATTTTAGTCAATAACAACACTCAATGATAGTTTTTATTTGTTTTGTTTTTTGTTTTGTTTTTTGTTTTCTTTCTTTTTTTTTTTGCAAACAAGGTCAATTATAAAATCATAGAATCTGCTTAATTCTTCTTTTGACGGGAAAATTCTAGGGAGTCTGTCACATCAACTTATTTTTCAGTATCCTACTTTGGTATAAAAATGTTCGTATTTACAAATACACTCCTGAGTATTTGAAAGACGTTAACATCATATGCACATGATTGTGGAAAATGTCTCAACATACGTAATTATATAAAACAGTATGAAAAGTACTATCAGTAATGTTGTATACACAAATATCATATTTTGCAGTACTACGTGGGAGCAATATAAAAATCTTCTTTTTGACTATCTCAGGACTAATACCAACAATCATTTTGTGAATTTGTAACAGAACAGTTTCCTTTTTTCTCTTTTAAAAACACATTCATTGTGTTCCATTGTAAAGGTACAATTCTCTATTGCTCCATACATAATTTTTTTTTCTCGCTTGACATGAATACCCTATTTCAAACTCTTTTGAACGCCCCTAATTGTAGTTCGATCAAATTAACATTTAGCATTGCAATTTGACAGAACTCTCAATTCTAAAATCCCAGATCTATTAAAACAAATATTTTAGCAATCATTGGTTCTACACGATTTATCAAATTCTCTTATAAGGAGAATCGAGCAAATTGTTTGCAAACATGTCTATATCCTGTTGGTCAATGTGAGCATTGTGGCCGGGTCGATGGTGGATATTTGATCTGTGACAGGTTCATCATTTTATCCTCCCTTCCGTCAACAGAAGACCAACAAAAGACAGCAGACGAATATAATAAAGACAGACGAGCGTTCCGGAAATGTTGATTACTAGGTCTGATTTACAGTTATGAACATTTACTAATAGCAGTCAATATTTGACTGTTTGTCAAGCGATGCGCTTCTTTCCTCTCCGCACGTGCCTCCGTTCCCACAGATTCACGAGGAAAAACGCGCCAGAAACTTGCAACTTGCGCGCACTTCCTGACAACCATCGATACAGCTCTGCCGAATCTTTTTTGTGAGATCACGCTCTGCACGTGCTTATATCTAGTGAAATTTGATTGTTGGTCATTACTATATCGGAGTTTTCTAAGACAAGGCGGTCAATAGCAGAAGATAAGACAAGACACAGAACAGTATCCGGTTCATCAGTCGCTTTACTACTTCACGATGTTCTCTACTTACTTTGATATACTACTATAAGAGAACTTCTATTGCACTATAAAAACCTTGTCATATGAGTTAAAGGGATTTCTCCAGGAAAAACTGGAATAAAATGAGGACTTTATATTGACTAGTGTTAGTATGTGAAATTATAAAATTTCTACAATTTAAATATGGAAGTGTATGAAGTACTCAGATTCACCGAAATTGTAATATGTTTTCTCGGAGTTCTTTGCAAAGGTATGTATCAATTCTTATTTAAAGATGACTTTCTGTATACATGATGATTTTGAATATTTTTAATACTAATGTAAGATAATCTTTTTCAGTCATTTTGATTTTTTTTTATTACACAGATGCTTGTAATGGATTTATCAAGATCTAAATTGCCAGATGCATATGGTCTTTGCCTGGTCTTTGTCGGAAATTGTAGTATTAATTGAACAAATTTACCAGAATAAAGTCTAGGCAGAGATCGGCAGTCGTTTTTATGTTGGTATTTAAAGTTTTATCTACCCTTTGCAATATACACTAGGTCTGGGATTTTTTGTATCAATAATTATTTGACAGTAATACAACATTAGACTCCCCTCTGTTTGTTTTAAGCCAAATATACCTTGTTTTTATTGCAATTATTACCATTTTCCATAGATAGATTCCTAATATTATCCAAGATTGATTTGATAAATTGTTAATGTCACAAGTAACGAGTCATCGATCCACTCGCTTTTGTTTATTAATGTTAAAGTCTAAGTCCTCTTTTGCAACTCTACATACAGAAGTGTATTGCTTTTATAATACCCTCGTGGTAATTATGAATTAAAGCTCCCGTGATTTAATTGGTTTCAAACATTAATTTACATCTTTCTGAAACATCATATGAAGATATTAATGTAAAGGTACGAATTTTTTTCTATTCACGAACTTATTTTTATTACTTTTTAGGAGAAAAAAAAGAACGAGTATGTACCATATGAATCTGGTTCATGTTAATTTGTTATATAACGAGACTAACTCTGGATTCTTTCACTCCAACCCTTTCCTTATTAAAGTTTGATGGTCTACCGGGACTTTTAATTGAAAAACATACAAGGCGTACGTTGCGTTTTCCTTCCTTTTCACTTAATCTTGGATCAGGTTACCACCGAGACAAAAGAGGCATCAATATACGAAATGTGCATTTGATCATCAATTTGTTTCAATTTAACAATCTCCTATCCCAAGATAAATTGCTTCTAATTTATATTCTGTTTATTTAATTAGTTATATGCAGGACAAATTTGCCTTTTTTAAGCCTAAAGTAATTTTACCAAAATTTTCCCTGGCAATCCTAAGTTCAGGGAACAATATTGCTCTAAGCAGACTCGATTGGTCCATTGGTCACTTAATGGTTAGATAGCAGACCAACACAAGCATATCTTGATTTGGAGACAGGCGGGTTCTGTCATTGAGTCATCTCTAAGATAACATAGTAATAAGTTTTGGTCAATGGATTGCGATTACCAATCGGAACGCTTTGGTTTGTCCGCTGGACTTGATGAAGATGTTCCTTCCCAGCAATTGTTCGGCCTCTGTGGTCAATGTTCCTTAGCTATGACCGGTGATTTGTTTATGTGAAGAGAAGGGATTCATTCGCACGGTCTTCCAACTATATAGATTTTTATTTACTTATAATGGTATATAAATTAAGCTAGTTACGATTCTTATTGCAGAAATTTACGAATAAACTAGCAATGGTCTCAATCTATACTCGTCATAATTACTTTATTATGGCTGTTTTTTTTTTAAAGACGTACACATTTCTGCATAGATTTAGAGATTTTAGAGGCACTTCTTAAGTGTGGTGCTTTTATCAAGTTCAATTTAAAAAAAAAAATACGAATGAATATTTTTCTAAAACTCTTAAAATTAGTATTATTTTATTATAAAAGGTCTAGAAATGAAACGAAAAATAAGTCTTTTCAAAAAACTTTTTATTTCATGCTTCTCAAGTTCTTTCAAATCTTGGGATGGTCTGGTTAAATGTTGATTTTTGAACCCCAAAAAGTATAAAAATGAATACTTTTTTGGAGAAATTTAGTTTCCTTCATCTAGTCTTAAATACCAATACTTCTTATATCATGAAATGAAACTAGAAGTGATATGTGATGTCTTTCAATGATCGCACATACTTTTGTACTATGTTATTTGTAACAATTTTACGGTAGAACTAAACCAAAGCTAATGAAAAAAAAAACATACAATTTTCTTGGAATGCCTGGAATTTAATTTTTTTTTTTTATATCCGAGGATATATATGTTGAGCAATTTTCAATTAGAAAATGCTTATCGAGCGCTTTTTCGCGTTTCTTGGAAAAATGTGAAAATTTTGATAATTTTTCCAATATAAAATAATTAACTATCGTGATGAACTTTAAAGAATATCATATTGTTTTTGAAGGAATAGTTTTTTATATTAATTTATCACGAATGTTTTTACCAGTGAACATTTGAAACCACCACGCAATCCTAACTTTTACACAGTAGGCAAATTATACACGCCAGAAAAACTGGACCAAAGCGACTCGAATTATGTGGCCAATTTTACACAATTTGGGGACAAGCCAGGTTGAATGATAAAAATAACCACTAGCACTCAAAATTTGAAATTATAAATAATTCACAGTCATTGGAAATGAGCTTCAGTATACACATGCCTAATTTGTCAATTGTGGCATTATCACACATTTATAGTTCTGGCTCCCGAATATTTTATGTAGAAACCTACCTACTGGGCCAATTTACGGGGCATGAATTTTTAAACAATTTCTGAATAAAATTCGGTAAATTATGTTTCACCGGACGTTATGCCAAAACTTCATCATATGACGACTTTCTACTTTTTTGATGAAAAGTTTTTGGTGGAGAGTAAACGTAGTTTATAATTTTTTTTCATATATAATGACATGATTAGGAAATGCAATTAACCTTCTTATGAATTTTATTGATTTCTTTCATTCTTTTGAATTTTAGGTGAAATCTTCGGTGTATCATTATTTCCCCGAAATACAACTTTTATATTCTTTGGTCAACGAAACACAAAAATCAGCAATTAAATCGATTTTTTGCTTTTTAAAAATAAAATATAAAGGTAAAAACAATAATAGCTGTAGTGTATCCGTTTTGCGCCGCCATTTCTGTCTTGGAGGTAGCCGAGATAATTTGCGAGGTGCTAGGAACTAGTAATCGACTAGAGCGTTTAAGAGAGATGTTTTTTCACGATTAGTTTTCAATTCCGTCGTTTTTACTTTCACCAATTTCCGAACCAGCACAAACTGTCAATTATGTGATTAATTTGACGGCTCTCCGAACATAAGTTCTATTGTCCATCAATTATCATTTTGTCAGCCTCATTTTGAGTCTTTATCACCAACCGAACCCTTTTTCACCCTAGATTTTTTATTCATGCTATTTCCCTTTTAGAAGATACTCAATCATATTTGCAAACGATTTTTAAAATATTTGATATTGTTCCACATTAAATATCCGAGATTTTTCAATAATTGCAAAATCTTTTCAAGCAAATACATTTCAGTAACATCCTATTGCAAATCGTTTGTAAGTAAATATAACCATTGACACCACCACTTGATAAATCGTTATAGAGGTGAGAATTGTAACTGGTGGCGGTGAAACGTTCATTCAGTCATGACTGAAATTTTATGAAAAGCAAATAGGTAATAATGATTACTTTTTCTTTATGGCTAGTTTTGGATTCCTTCGGATGGGTGACATTTATGTCTTACTGAGCTACAAACAATGCCTGCCATGAAGATATAATCACTTTGCTTTAAGGTCCCGAGAGAATCTCGTTTGACATTGGATTTTATTAACAAATGAACATCGCCGATTCTTTTAACAGTGACTCTGTCTTTTTGTTCTGATGGTGAAAGAAAAATTAAGAAATTTGCGAGGTGTGAAAATAATTGTGTTCACATCTTCTTCAATTATCAAGTTTTACAGTCTCTTACTGGAGGCGCCATAGTGCACAAGTTCTACTGTAGAAAAGATTGGACAATGGGGCTTCTTGTAGTTACTTATTGTTGCACCCAAGCGCGTGGTTAATCCACTAATTTGCACAAAACACGTCACGTACCACCAAGAAATCGATCCAAATCCAATAGATATTTTTTTCTTGGAACTCCATGTGAAGAGATTGAAAATATTCGATTTTTTGTCCCTTAATTTTGTTAACATTTTAATTATCTTGATGGCATGCAAATGGGAAAATGTTTACACCAATTAAGAAGCGATTTCTCCCGGCCGTCGATGTAGTTAGTGAGAAAGAAGTCTTTTTCTGTTTATTATTTTGTCTGACAATCTGATTCTAAAACAAGTTTGGAAGCCACATAACCACATTATTGTGTATTTGTAGAGAGAGATAAGATTGAACTTTATAAATAAACAATGACTTCCCAAACTGATTGAGAATATTTTCGGATCTCTTCTTTATAATGATAAATTTTAGTCTATTATATATTTCTTGTACCTTCAAAAAGACAAATAATCGTTAAAAAAAATTCCATAAAGACAAGCTTCAGTTAATCTTTGAATGTTAGAAGATGTTTAGTAACATTTTATCTCCAAAATATGATTATTATTTTAAAGCATCCACTGAGCAGTTTATCTTTTGCGTAAGTTTTTGTTGGATGAGAATGGACAGCAGTGGGAATGTCTGTCCACACTTTTATCCATTCTGCAGCAGATGATTGGCCTCTTCTCAGCTGTACAGAACACAATATGACAACTCTGTCAGTATCCATTATTCATCATAAAAAATCAGAAATATTGACATATGTTAGTCCTATTTCAGGCTTCATTGCGCGGGAATCCACAACACGAATCTATGATATTAAAGGTACTTTAATCCTGGCACCTGCAGCAGCGCAAAGCATGCGGCGTCCTTCAAAATGCACCAGTAAAACTTTGGCGCCAATATCTAAATATTTATAATTCCTTGAATGCGCATGCGTTAGATTGAAGAAAATATGTGCACACAGAGCTTTTTCATGGCACACATTAGTAAACTGTTGCACACACATATACTTTTTCTCGGGGCACTTTTTTTTCTCTTTTTAGTCATTCTTCCTTAGATTGAATAAAAAGAAGGTTGAAAGTATTTGAAGTTTTATTTATTGCATTATCTCGTATATTTGTATTACGTACTGTATTTACATCTACGTGCTAAAATGCATTTCGAAGATTTACAGCATTGAAACGTTGTTTCTCGTGAGTCCATTATCACATTGCCTACCTCTTGGCCTACTATTTATTACAAGGTTTTGATTTTTTGTGGAGGCCCATGACCCGTGTTCTACAGGTATTTCGTCATATATTGGGAAAAGTAACATGTAAAATGGGGAGCAGAAGGTGATTATAGACAAATAAAATGCAATTTGAATATGAATGCTATGTCATGTCTTTTTGATAAACAACATGCTTAGTGTTTAAAAATCTTTAATCTAGAAATACTAATATTTCTGAGCAACGAGATTTCAATGAAACAAGTCTAATGTTCGTTTTAAATTCACGTACAGGTATTTTTTTTAAATACATGTATATGTACTGTGTATCTCATTGCTTTTCCTCGATGTTTGAATGTTTCGATCTCTTTATTCAAAATTCAAATATTTCTTGCCTTTTAACATAGAGTGGTCATTAAATGCCAAATTATACCGTGTTCCTTGAAAAAGAATAAACCATAAAGTTTCTATCGTTTGTAATTTGTGATGAGTATAAAGAAACATAGTCTAATGATGTCAAAATGGCGCTTTTTGTGTGCAGCGTTTTCCGCTGAATACGTACAAAATCTGTAAAATGAACAATCCTTTCTAATAACTTGATAAGAATGAAAATCTTTTAAGTATAGGAATAAATTTTAAAACAAAGATGTTAACTTGAATTTTTCCTAAAACTCTAGGCTATATTATTTTGATTCATGTTTGCTTCTGAACTTTAGAGTTGGTTAAGTACTGATTGTTCGTAGAAAACCGTTATGAATACCCTTCCAAGTTACATATGCTGACTGCAAAAATAAGTCTAAAGTACGAATTGCATGCGTAAAGTTCGTAAATAATTATATAATTTGATATCCGACTTCTGCAACTATTCCGCCATTTTCTATACCAACCCATTGATTTCCCCGAGTTTGCTTTGATACCTAAGCTAAGCATCCTTTATGACTCACGATGTATAACACAATATAAGAAAACAGAAACAAAAGGCCGCACGCTTTCTTAGTCTACTTATTAGGAAATGACCTCGCAGAAAAATGGACGTGCACCATTCATTCTATTTACTGTCGTGTCTAATGTTTTATTCACGAAATCCTGGATGACATTTTCTCTTATATTTGACCATAAACTGACTAATGTACCCCTACAGACCGCTTCTTGGAGAGGATTCTTATAGTTTTGACATTAATTTTCTTCTGGCGTGCTTCACACGATGCCTCTAATTTGTCTGATTTAGAATTGTTATTTAAGACTACTTGACTGCCTCTGCGAAGAATTAAGCAACGTAAATCATATTTGTTCTTTTTGTTTATGTCTATATAATCCAAGTGATGAAAATTTACTTAGCGTGCAAATGTCGCACTCCGACTTCGCGGATTTTTTTTTCTGAGAATTTAGACACAACCGGGTTCTTAGAAAAAGGTTACAAAGGGAACATTATATAAACAAATTATTAAAATGAATTTTATTCCCTCTTACAAAAAATAGGGTTCATTCTACCTATTCCCACTTTTTGAAAATCGGGTAGAAAAAGGTAAAATTTCATGTGGGAGTAGGTGGAATTTTTGTGAAAACAAATAATTAGGCGAATAAACATATCATGACTGTGAAAACAGTAATTATTAAACCACTGTTGGAATAGAGGACAGGTAAATTTGCTACTTTAAATTAAAAAATCTGACTTTTTACTTCTATTTCAATGAGAAATTAGACTTTTTCAAATAAAAATAGCAAATAAATTACTAAGTATTAAGGCAGTTGAATCTTAAGGCTCAGTAAAAAGAGTTCACGGTGAACTGTTTTCATTTATCATTCCTGATCTTATTACCTCAAGCAAATATTCAATCACCGATGAATTTTACATAAGACTTTTATTGATCTTTAAATTGAAATCTGGATTTAAATAACTATTAAAAAAAAAATTAAAGAAAAATTCATAATAAATTTACACATACATACATGTAAGTATATATTTCAATGAATTTAAGTATATTTTTTAGTATATTTTTCTGTTAAACTATTTATTTCATATTTAACTCCAGTTATTTATATGATTTTTTTTCATATATATTTATTTTTTTTTCAAATTAAATAAATATTTATATGCATTTTTTTTTTTCAAATAAAATACATTTTTTTTTAGATAAATATATTTATTTTCTGTCTTAAAATGTACAAAATACCGGTAAAATACAGGCAAATCTAAGATGGGATGTAATTATTCTAATTACTGTAAAAACAAATTAACTAATCAAAACATCTATTGTTATTTGCAAGTGGGAATAGGTGGAATTGAGATTTTTAAAAAGTGGGAATAGCTAGAAGACACCAAAAATAGAACTAATTTTATAAGGAAAACAAGATGTGTTTGTGAAACGCTATGCACCCGGCAACAACAAAGTTCGAAAAAGCCATCTTAGCATATAGGTCAAGCTCACAAGGTCATTGACCTTGGTGTCATTTGAAAGAACTTAATTAGTGGAGAGTGAATTATGCATTCTAAATGTTAAGTCTCTATCTCTTATAGTTAAAAGTTATGGTGAAGTTCAAAAAGGCTATTTTTTGCATATAGGCCACATTCAAGGTCACAAAGTCATTGACCTTAGTGACATTTGAAAGAACTTAATTAGTGGAGTACCCGGTATGCATATTAAATATGAAGTCTCTATCTCATATGGTTCAAAAGTTATCACAAAGGTTTGAAAAAGCCTTTTAGCATATATGTCACAGTCAAAGTCAAAAGGTCACTGGTGTAAAACAACAGCAGGAAGCAGCTTTAGATGACAAGTTCTGTTTACGATAAAGTTTGAGATTTTCAAAAATCTTGAAACGGTTAATGTAAAATACATGTAATTTGTTTCTTTTATTCAAATTCCATATGTAGCTGGGATATTGCCATTAACCTCCTTTTCTTCTGCTATCCAAATTTTGCATTTACTGCCACTTGATAAATTCAAAATTCATATCACGGTTGAAGTCCAGATACGTTACTGTTGCATAAATATATGTGTGATAACATTATACTTCTTTTGGAAAAAAAACTTTCATAACAATATACATATTGTGTTCACTTGATAAATCATCTGTTTCTTAATTACAGATTAAATACCCTGTAACTTTTTTTTTCACTACTCTCCACTGTACTTTTTAAGAGTAGTTCATTTTTAATGGTTTGATGTGAATCACAGATGCTGTATCTTAATCTCGAGTCCATCTGAATGAATTAGTATGTTAATGATTCTACAAGATATCCACAAGATAATCACAGTTTGCGTTTTACATAAAGCTGAATAATCCCATACTTGTTCATTCTGCATTAACAATTTGTTTTGAATAAGAGACATTTCCGTGAAGTGAATGTTAAAGCCTGTCGGATGATATTCCCCTGATACAGAATCTCCATTGATATGGAAGAAGTTTCTCTAGTTTAAATTCAAAGGAATTCTCGTGAGAACCAGGCAACCTAATGACTATTTGACTTTTTTTATTCAGAAGGCGCTGTGACATGACACAAAAAGTGTTTGCAATATTCCATGCGGCACCACTGACTTTCTCCATCTCCATTGCAAATATGATGAATTCTAAAATCGGAGCATTTTGGTTTCAGTGAAGACGATACGTGTTGCTTCTATTCTAATTCAAAAATTTTATTTTTCAAGAGATTTGGTAAAATGACAATTATAAATGTTATATTGTTAGGAAACACGCCGACTTAATTACTTTCAACATGACTGGATTCCCTGAGAGAGACGCCATATTGTGAAAGCCAATCCTCGTCAATATAAAAGATGTGAACTTTAAAAAAAAACGTAATTCTAGTAATTTACACCTTAACGACAATTTTCAAAACATTATTTGTGCAATTAAGTTTTCTTCTTAGAAATAGATTATGGTAAAACAAAATAAATTTAATTTCAAAATGAAAAAAAAATGTACAACAGTTACAGATTAGTATTTCAGTAATAAGAAAGATACATCACTGGATGCAAAATGGTATTTTTTTATGGCTTGATATTTAGTCCACTTTAACCTTGTTATATCTTTTGATGTAATTCTTCATCACTAGGTCTTCATAACCAGTTTATCTGGAGGCGCAGCAATCACTCGCCATTATGTCTTTCCCATCTGACATCTGCCTCTCTGTGACGCTTGCGGGCGTCTTTAAAGCGTTTGATTCCCTGAAGGTCGATAACAAGTTATGGAACAACCATAAATGATCAGAGTAGTGTTGTCTGGATATTATCATCAATCCACGCGAGTATCTTTGGACTTTTCCTCTAGTTTTGTGTCAGTTTTATTTCATTAAGAACGATCAAGGTTCTCCAGTAAAAACACCTTTTTAGTGATCGTTGGCATTGTTGGCTTTTGACCGGATATTTGGAACTATCTCAATTTGTACTTGCTGCTTTTCCTTCTAGATAAGGAAAATAATGAAACAAATAATTATTCTCACTGGAGTAGATACATTCATATATTACTAAATAATGAAATTTAGTTCCTAAAGCATGCTTTACGTACATCGTTCCCAATACCAGAGTGTACTTAATTTTTCATTCTTTATGTTGAAGAAATCATCTCTACATTTATAGTAAAAGAAATTTCTGTTTTTATGTCCCCGTAATCGAAGAGTTTTCGCCCTGTCCATCCGTCTGCCTGTTTGTCGGAAAAACTTGACCATTGCTCGTAATTTTTGATTACAGCTGTAGTTGGAACTATGGTTTTCATATTTCACGTGTACTTTTAGTGACAAGAACTTTTTGGGGTACCAGCATATTTTATCGTTTGACCTTGGAGTTGCACCCACTTTTGCAAGAATTCACCCAGATTTAACCTTGGCCATAGCTTTTGAACAGTTGGTTCTGGGATTTTCATACTTCACTTATGTATTTACTATGACAAGACATTTCCATTGATATAAATATTTTTGACCTTTTCCTTTTGATTTTGAAAAAATCAAAATTTTGAACACCTAGTACTAGAGTCTTCATATTTCACATAGGCCTCAAACACACTGCTCAACGCGTTATCGGCAACTCGGTTGTTATCGGACACTCGGTTCAAGAAAAGCAATGTTTAGAAAATGTGGGTAATTTTAAATTTCATATTTCAACGATAAATATGTAGTTCAGGAAACAAAGTTTGTGGTCTATGACAGATAATCCATTATACTTTCAGCAGCAGAAAGCACAAACCAAATCGCTATTTTGCAAAAGATCTACAACTCTTTCAAATTTTATTTTACAAAAATTTCGGAATATGTCATCACATTTTAACTTCTGTAGAATTCAAAATTAGTTTATTCTATCAAACAAACTAGTTTATTTATTCTATGGACAATCGGATACCTTTAGATCAGCAGACTGAGATTAAAAATCCAAAGTAAGGGTTAGTAATCAGTCTTTTAAAATGTCTCGTTAGTTGAAAACATGTTATCGTCAACTCGGTTGATGTTGTCAGATACTTCGGTTTTAGACGGGTGTATGTTATCGGAAACTCAGGTTAAAAAGTTTCCCTTAGCTTCATAAATAGATTGGAAAAAGTCCATTATAATCTGCCAATCCTTGAAAATACCAAACGTAAAAGTTTGTATTGATGTAAATGTATATAAATAAGACTTATAATTATAAATTATAATAGACCTACTCATCTGTTCAATCATTTTTCTTGTTTTCCATTCAAGATAACCTCTTGGAAACAGCTTCAGGCGGTTTCAGATGTAAATATATTATATTTAATTATAATCATAACAATTTTGCTTTAGACTTCCGATATACTGTATTACGTTATCTTTTTTTTTCAAAAAACAAAACAAAACAAAAAAACAAGTTCAATTTCTCCCATGATTCCCGGGGAACTAATTTTTTGTCCAGTAATGTCAATTTATTATCACGTCACAGTTACACATATAGCAGGTGTGGCTTAAGTAGGGGTGCCCTGCATATGAAACAAGTGCCTGTGATTGAAAAGTCAGGACTTGCTCCACAGAAGAATGTTAACATATTTTTTAGAAGCATAAAATAGAATCATCCAGTTTATATGACTTTTTTAAATACTTGATCATGTGATCTTGTGTCAATTAGACAGCTGTCAACATTAAAGAAAAATAATAATTCTTAATTCTCTTTTAATACAATGTAATTTGGATCTGTATAGATTAAAGAGACTAATATTCTTTAACAAAAAGCATGGCCCAGAAAAAAATTTAAAAAATAATATAATGAAGGGAGCTGACTGGAATTTTATTGTGTTAGAAACACTTTAATTTTAAAAATATATATATATAACTCACTTTCCAACCGTTAAAATACCTACTAGTATTTAGGTGGAAGGGGTGCTGGTTGATTCACTTCTGATCAGTTCCTGGTATGTTTAACTTTTTCAATAAATATTTATTTGCGTTTTCAATTACAATGGGGGGGGGGGGGTACCAGAGATTTTTTGCTTCAGTATAAACATCCATAGCAGGCGCGGATCCAGAAATTTTTTCCCGGGGGGGTCCACCCCAGTCAAAAAAAAAATCCAATCCCAGAAATTTCTTGAAAAGCAAAAAAAAAAAAAAAAAAAAACCTAAACTCGCCCAAACGTCAAAAACCTATTTCAGAAATGCCTCAAATCTTTCACTTTTCATACCCATTTCACATATTCGCAATGCAAAATTTTTTCTTGTTTTACCATTTTTTAACCTGGTAAATTCAGGGGGGGTCCCCCCCTCCCGCGCATGCATAGCAATGCAAAATCCACGTCAGCATCCCCTTCTATCCGAGCATTAGCTCTATCTACACATCGCATTTGGTCAACAATAACAAAGAGCACACTGCGGGATGTGATGACCGGTCATCAGGGGGTTCTTATTCCTTTTTGGTACGTTAAACAACCTCCGATGTTTGAGAGATCCGTGTTGTAATTTTTTAAAGTCAGCCTCTTTTCTCCTCAAAATTTAGAATTCTAAGTCATATAATTTGGTCTAACTACCTATTTAGAAATTCATTTAACCACCATTGAGTTTAAATTCTTTAATTGCTTGACATGTATACTGAGTATACGAAACTTAAAAATGCATTCGTGTTCGAAAGGTTGTGAGTTTGAATCTCGGCGACGACTGGTCTAAGTCGATAAAAAATGGGTAGCAACTGTTCCTTCGCCATTAGCTCAGCACCTTGATTAACTGTATGCTGTTTAAAGCCCTCTTGAGAATTTTCCAGTCATATGGAGACACCATCACTTGCCAGCGGAGAGCTACAAAATTTGTTATTTACTCGGCACTGAGGGCCATTGAGCAGTGAGGGATCTTTTTTGTGCTAGCACCTACTGCGACGTCCCACTGTGGGATACGAACACGCAACATAAGGATCGACGAACCACTGCGTCACGCGGGCGACCTCGGTACCTTGAAATGAAATTTAAAACATACCATATTTTCGAACAGGTCAACATCATGCAGATTTCAGTGAAAATGCCAAAAACACTAATTTTTAAAAGAGAAATATTCTTAAAAGAGGCAAATTATAGCCAAAAATTAAAATTGCGTGCCAGCCATTTTAAATATTTAGATTTCATACGGATTTCTGTTGTTTCTTTGCGTTTTTCTCTAATCTATGACAACCGTTGTTTCCGATAACCAAAACCGAGTTATCCGATAACAAAGTGCATTATTCAACCGTATTTCCGATAACACCTGGAAAGTTAGAATTGGGCAATTTTTGCCCTTTAATTACAAATTCTCAAGATTTTGATGAAGTCATCTTGTGGACAATCATTAACGCTAGGTAAAAATAAGGATTTTGAAGAAAAAAGCTATTTACAGCAATGCCAATCGGAGAAAAACTTGCAAAATATAACAAATTTGATTTAAAAGCCTTCTAAAGGCTAACAAATGCTATACTAATACGTGCCAAGGCTTTATTTTGTATCCGTATTCATTTTAGTTTACAAGAAGCACAAGGAACATTGTCTGTTTCTTTTTTAACAGAGTTTATTTAAAATAATTTACTAACATGTCAAAAATTGTTATCAACCGAGTATCCGATAACAACCGAGTAGCCGATAACGCGTTGAGCAGTGTGTCAAAGGTCTTGAAGTTTATAGTTGACGTTAAACGTATAATTAATCTCAGCCAGCCTTAAGATTGCTGAACAAGAGTACCCTTGTCTACATAAACAAATGAAGCCAAATCTTAAATGTGAAATTAATCCTTTAAACATAAAAACACTCTTTTAAAATACACGACTATTTGTGGTTGATAGGGAAGGGACTTAGTTGAAACGGAATTGAACTTTGTGGGTTTTTCTTGGTCTTCTTAATTCTTTCGGTACCTTCATTTACTAGTACATTTATTTGAAACTGTGAAGCAGGTAAATAACTGTAATACCCAATTGGTGAGTTGAATTAAATATTGTTTAAAATGTTTTTGAATTTTCTGTTTACTAGATATAATGGCAGTAGAGCCTAGCTTTGATGTGCCTATCGTCAACATCACCGTGGTTGCTGGTAAAACAGCGGTCCTTCCTTGTTCCATTGAGTCGTTAGGTGAATTTAAGGTGGGTTTTCTCATCACTACACCACGGACTAAAGTATTAATTCTTCTGCAGGATTTTTGACGACTAATTATTGCAGCATTTTTAACCCTGTACTTTAATACATATACGTGTATTCTTATGTCTTGTAATATTCATGTGTTTTAAGTTACATGTATTTGTTTATTAATTTATCTAAATGATGATCATCAAGTTCTAATAACTTTGATTCAAAGAGAAAAATCAAGTTTTAGTTTAATTTTCTAAGTGTGGGCTGTCGAGGGTTTAGAACAACTTTCTGTCCATCTATTGCTTTCTGTATTACAGACTCACCTTAAGGAGAAGAATGTTGCAGGAATTCATTTACAATATAGCATTTCATTATATAAATTGACTAAAGCGAAAGTAATACGTCAATTAGTGAAATAGTTTCCTGGCACAAGCTTTCTTGGGGGAATGTTTCTCTTGAAAATGATACTTCTAGTTAAAAAGTTACAAAGTCGTGCATTTTAATACATGGCTTGTATTTCAGTTTTCAACCCACCACGAAATGTCAAATTATATGTCGACAATTTGAAATTAACTGTAAAGTAACAGTGTAATTGATACAATATTGAGTTATTATTCTCTAAAATTCAGGATAAAAGCGTCAAGAAAATAGCACACAATGGCAAATTCAGTGTAATCATGACAATATGCGAGACTATCATTATTCTGTATCAAATGTTTAAATTGAAAACTGCATTTACAGTATACATAATTTGTCTACATTCTAGTGCACAGCTAATGTTTGGTAAAAATAACCCTCAAGTGCTTGTATATTCAATATATGAATTCGCAGTAATGAATTATGGAGCTAACAAATTGCTTTGTGTACTAATACAGTGTATATTTTCATCCCAAAAACTTAAGTAATGTTTTTTGGTTGTATTTTAATGTTTTTTTTTCAATTGCTAAAATTATTTATAAATGTTATAGAAATTTATGCCTAGAAAAATGACATTGAGGAGAGTGTTGTTAGAGGGTAAGTACATGTGTATGTAGTAAATCGGTAAACAACGAAAATAAACGATCTGAAACAAAACGAAGTGTTACTGTAAAGTGTTAGTATAAATTAGACATGAACAGGGAATTATTCACAAGGTATTACTTTAATCAGTTGAGGATTTGAAATTTAAGGGTATGAAAGATTAGTACCTCAAATATCTTTATTTAAGGCCAGGTGATACAAACAAACTTTAGACAAAAATCTTGAGAAAAGCTTTTAAGTCATATTTATAAATGTAAAATAAATAAGTTTAACTGAGTAGATTTTGATTTTTTCACTCAAAGTTTCACAAAGATGTGATTTAAATTATCAGGGAACTTGTAAAGATTTATAAGGATGGTTGCAGAAAGATAGATTTTTGAATATCATACAAAGTTTACAATTACATGTAAGTAATTTGATATTTGCATCATTTACAAACGAAATAGGTCCAAAACTATATACCAATCCAGACATCATTTTTTTGTATCATCTGTCCTTTATTTTGTCTGTGTAAGCTATTGAGATAAAGTTTTAATGCTATGGTATGTAATCTTTCTTTTAAAATCCAGAATCCACCCTACAAAGGGCCTTGCAACAATTATCTCTTAGTGGTCACATTTAAGATATTGGTCTTGTCGGCTGAAAGAACATGATCGGCCGATACAGTATCGGGCGACACTGAGCAGTCAAATTAATTCCTAGGGACACCGATAAATTGGATAAATAACACCAAAAAAAATCTTTTTTCTTTAGAATTCAGCAATATTTGTTCATAGATCTATATTCAGATAGGTGACGTGAGTAATGTTTGCAAGGCAAAGTGGCAGAATCTTATAAAATTGTGACTCAATGTTGAACATGTGTGCAAAATTTTGTATGGCATTGCATAAAAACGACAAATGGTGCATATCTAAGCAGCAGAGAATACTTAAGATTTCTTTATATCTTACGGATTAATTATTCATGCTTTTTATATCAATCCATGCATCAAAATTTTGTGTGTTGCATATCCTTACTAGCTAATCGTGAGATAAAGTTTGATTTTAATGCTTTTAAACACCCTTATTGTCCAACGGTAATAAACTGACCGCCGATTAGGACGATGATCTTTGTCGAATAACTTCAATTGAATGAATCGGCCACCGACGCATAAAAAATTATAACTTGGACCGATGGACACAAAATTGGTCGGCCGACAAAAAAAGAGGGTGAAATCGGGCAAGACAACGGCCGATGAACTGACGACTGTCACCCGAAGAATCCCATTTTTGCTTGAAAACCCGTCGGCCGTTGGTCGTTTTTGGAAATGTGACTGGGGTTTTACTCCAACATCAATATCTTTGTAAGGATTAGAATGGAGAAACAGTACTTTATATAAATGTTTTATACTGTATTTCACGAAATTTTCGAGACAACTTATTTTCCCGAGATAGGTAATGGTATTGAGGAGCGAAAAAAGTGTAATTTCTTGTAAAGTAATCTCCACTTATAAAAAATATACGCTACATACCTCCTCGCCTTATTACCCTAAAAATTGATTGTATTTGTGAAACAGTGATGCCCTCGTATGACAGTTTATGATCAAGGTTAAAGTTTTTAGCTCTACTTGTCAGAGACCAGAAGAGCTTATGCGATAGTAAGGTGTCCATCGTCCGTCCGTCTGTCTTGCTGTCCGTCCGTCTGTTTGTAAATTTTTTTTTTCAAAAGCTACTCCTCCTACAGCCTGATTTCAATATAACTTGGCACACAAGCAGACTACACTAAGATACACAATTTAGTCCATCGGTTTTTTTATTTCCATGAACGGTGTTGCCATGGTAACTAAAAATAGAAATTTCTATGAAATTTCTTTATAACGCTACTCCTCCCACAGTTTCGGTTTGATTTCAATATAATTTGGAACGCAAGTAGACTACATTAAAGTACATAATTCTATTTATTGCTGCCTGTTGCAAAGTTTCAAATCTAAGTGCTACTTTTCCTTTGTTATTCGTACAGACCAGTAGAGCTACAGTCTCATCAGAGACTTCTGGATTTTTAGAAGGTTCCAAGGTCAAGGTCAAAAGGTGTAAAATATTTATACCCATTTCAAGGTTTTGTCGCAATGAATGCACATGAAGTATGAAATCCGTACTGTTCAGAAGTAATGGGCAAGGTTAAAGGGGCATAAAAATGATTTACAGTAGTACATCCCCTTCAAGTCATTGTCAAAGAAAATGATCATGATTTACTTTTTATTATAGCGAATTCAAGTGAATTTTAGGGAAAATGCAGACATTCTTATATTGCTTTCGTATAATTTTAAATCAGTCGAGGCATAACAAAGTTTTTAAGATAACTTATGTGGTGTTGCAGGTGGTTTGGACGGATCAGTATTCTACTCTGCTGACTTTAGATGAAAAACGCATTATAGATGACGATCGAATGGTTTTAGACCGTCCCCACACAAAAGATTGGAATCTTTTACTCCATAGCGTCAAATATGAAGATAAAGGGCGCTATACCTGTCAAATTAATACAATGCCAATCAAAACTAAAACCATAGAATTGATTGTCCTAGGTATGTTTTTCTTTTATACCTTTTATATACAAGTTTTTCATTATCGTATGACATCATGTCTATTTTTAGGTGGTATGGACCGATCGGTGGTCCACATTGCTGACATATGGGGATCGTCGAATCATCAACGATGAAAGAATTTCAGTAGAAAGGCCCCGTCTGAGGGACTGGAATTTAGTTATTCGTGAAGTACAATATACTGACCAGGGCAATTATGTATGTCAGATCAACACGTTACCCATTAAAACAAACTCGGTCCTCCTTCACGTGTTGGGTAAGGCTGCGTGTACACCGCACCCGACCCATTAGAACTAACAGTGTGTGAATTATTATCTCAAAGCATTGCAATCTTAGCTCCGAACTTGTGTAATTTTTCCTATTTTATTATCTACGTTAAAGATCTTTTCCTTAGTCAGAAAGCCATAATACAATGTTGCATTCGGGAAGGGTACAGTTGAAAAAAATAGACTTAAAAAGCAAACTGAAAACAGGCAAACAAGTAATATAATTTCCTAAATATTCTGGGAGGATGGTCTTGTAGGTAAAAATTAAACTGAAAAAAGATTTAAATCGATTTTCTACTATTCACAAATAATAAAACATTTTGCTGTATATTGTACAACTTTCCAAAAAAAAAGTATGAAAAAATGGTAGATATTTTGGAAATGAATAATTTACACACTGTATAGAGGTCCCGCCCCTTCACTACTTATATGTTGTGTCCTGCACACCGATTGGGTACCACTGTATCAAGAACCGCCCAACTCACACCCATAGCTTTAACCTCTGACGCAAGTTCTCAATTCTCTTCTCTAAAGCTTGGCGCACAATAACGTCACTGTTACTAACAATAGCCGTAGACTCACATTAACTCGGATGTTACACAACTAAAGTTAGATAGTTTTTTTTCCAGAACTATGTCAGACTTTTCTTGTAGCTAGTCCTCACCTGTACATGGAAACAACAGGACACTGGGTTTTCTGTGTATTTTGAGAATTAACACGTTACTTGGCTTTGCAGTTGCTTTGCGTGCGCTAATAATATGCTTTCAACTTTCACATTTTAATCACAGGACACGAAGATCAAATGACACAGTCTTTGTTTGAAATTTGTTCACATTCCAGTTTTTTTTCCTGATTTTTCACAGAACTACCTGTGTATACATACAATCGGCAGTCCTCGGCCGACTCCGTTACGCTCCATTCAAATCTCGGATGTGATAGGTGGAAGAATACGATACATTTTTCCCGGAAAACTGCCTTGTCACTCATTTCATATTTCACTCTGCATAAAGTTTTTTTTTCGAAAAGGTTTCTGAATTTGCTAAATTCTTCGTATAATATTGCTTTTAAATACAACAATATGTTAGTAGTCTTTGAAAGCAAGAACATTGTGTTGGACGTGCAACAAAGTATATACAGTGTATATATAACTCAGATTTCAAAAGTGTAACATTTGAATAAAAATCAAATAAGATCATATGATTGAATCAGCAAGATGGTAGAACACCTTTGACGTCCTAGGTTAGTGTGCGAGGTAGGAGCCACCCGAGGAGCTCCGAGTGGTATACAGAGGAACTCTTCTGTAGTTATGAGGTTCATTTACTAGTATTTGGTGGACATGAAAATGGTCTTTAAGTTTTTGGTCAAAACTATTAACATTTTTCTGTCAGTTTTACACTAAGCAATCGAAATAAATGAATAAATGATTGATGCTTTAAAGTCTGTTCTTGTATTTGTGTAGATAAATATATTTTGAAAGCTCGTGACCATAAAATAAAATTTAAAGATGTCAGTACTACATGTAATGTCACTAATGTGTAGTTAAAACAACGATATGTCGTTGACTCATATTCATAACTGTATATTTTCTATCTTTAACACTATATTGGTAATCTTTGTGTATGATGTATCCCTTATTTGGAAGATATTCTTATACTCGTATGTTATCGTACTACCAGTACCATGTGTTTAGTACTATCTTACAGTAAGACTTTGTTTATTGAATATAACATGTACTTGGACTTAGTTTATCAGTATAGTTTATCAGTATATTTATTAGTTAAGCACTATTGTACGTTCATTCATATGGTTTTAAGATTCCGTAAAAATGAATTGAATGAATTTTATTATTTTTTTCAAAGAAATTGTAGAACCTTAATTAACAAATAAGATTTGATTATTCAGTTCCGCCCGAAATTTTGGACTCTTCAAGTAGTGACATGACGGCAAAGGAGGGTGACACAGTGACCTTGACCTGTAACGTCACTGGTATTCCAAGGCCAACCGTGCAATGGTTTAGGAAACCACACGCGGACAGTCGAGACCAGCATAAAGAAAGTAAGATCTGAATTTCTGTAGAATATAGCTTTAATTTATTTTGATGAAAAGTGTTAATTAATTTGTATTAGAAGGGGAAATCAGACGCTTCAGTGTTGCACTCGTTCAAAATTAGAAGAGTATTTCCCATTTTCGTTTTTCCAAAAATGTTGTATATAGGCTTTGCAACATAGTACACGTATACCAATTTAGAGAAAATTATTTAAAAGTTAAATACTTGCATAAACATATTTAATGATTCATTATTTCTAGAAATACTTTCTTAGCATTTACTACCCTCTGATTGTCAAGCCTTGGTGCAGATTTTATGTGAAAATATGTTTCTGTGTTTTATTGAATTCGCACCCAATGTATGACATATATTTCATTACACTTATTTTAGGTTTTGTATCGTTAAACTTAATATTTCATGCCTTTTAAGTTGCAAACAAGTTGTTCCCAAGGATCGTTGTGACTTATTTGCACTTAGAAAACTTTACACATTTGTGACTAGGAGTGAAGACGACTACCCACGGTCACTATGGTAACCAGCAGTCAGATGACCACTGCTTATACACAGTCAGTCATCGAGGTACATGTCTATGTCAAAATGCGTGCGCATGTATGATCAAGCACTGTGCATACTGTGGACTATATTTCACAAGAAAAATAAAGGAAATGTGACATCTATAAAAGAAAAAAAAATGATATAATAACCCGATTGATATTTCAACTTCTTCCAACAATCCACAGTTATGAGCATTGCTTGTTGCTTTCCACATCTTCAATGTAAATCACTAACTAGTTTTAGATCCTAACCCATATTTTATAATAACATCTGTGGGGATGAAATATTGTTTGTAGACTAGTTTAAATAGTTTTAGGCTTTGCAACTCTAACTATACGTAGATTAACTGAAAAACAAAGAATGATTCTTTGTTACAAATTCACAAATCAATACTAGGCATTCATATCCTCATTATATTATCACAAATATCACTATTATTTATTTAGCAAACAATTTCATTAATACATTTTTTAAAATCACTTTTCTAAATCATGCACTTTTAATGAACACTTTAACTTAAATAACTTTTTGCACCATTTGCGAATTAACCCACATCAAATCACCAAATTTAACATGTTTTATTTTGGAATCATAAAAATTCATACTTAAAACAGCATATCAAGAGATCTTTCTTTCTGTATGATTTTAGAAAATAATTTTATCATTCGGTGACAATCATCAAAAAATAATAATATAGAGCATGAGAATTTCAGGAAAGACAGATGTAACTTAATTGCGAGTACGTAGAAAGCTACTGTAAGAAGTTCGACCATGATGTAAAAAAGTATTTCTTCCTATACTGTTTCAGTTGTTACTATTTTTAACTAAGTTATATAATAATGTGGATTCCCTTTTTCTGACAACCTTGGTTATTTTTGCTGAAAGAAGTAACATTTATTATTTTTATATATCTAAAAAAAAACATGCATTATTAATATCAAAACTTTGCCAGAGCAACTTATCTTGTACAATGGAGTTGAGTAGGAATTTGTACAACAAAAAATAAATAAAGTATCAATTCTATTCAGCATATACCCATATAATCATTTGTTAATTTTAATTTAAGCAACAAAAAAATGATTTCCTTTCTTATTCAGTGATTTCTACAAGATATGTTGCCATGGTATTAGACACGTGATCTGACGCTTTACCATATTTTTGTTACAGTTTTTGAAGTAGAGTTGACTTCCGCTCCGATAGCCCAGGTTATCGGACATGATCCGGTGGTAAATAATGGTACACTCTCTACTTCCTGTTTTGGAGTGTGGTTTCCGCACGATTTGCTTTTATTTCTGTATTCTTCTACAGGTCAAAGCCTGTCAATATGTCTCCTCTCTATCTCTCACTTGTCTGCTATCTGCTTTTGAATAAGTGTAATGGCAATAATAGAATTTTTCACAATAAATAATAATTTTCACTAACTTAGAATATATTTAAAGACTCTACTTGTATTATACACAACCTTAATATAATCTTGACCAGTTTCAGACGCAAGTGCTAACTGTGTTTTTCTGTTAACCAGTGAACCTGTTAACCAGAATTCTCCTACAAACAAACAGATTTTCATTAACCTTGTAGTAAATATAAACCTTGTTAACTTTCAAGAAGAACCTTTACAATTTTCATTAAACAATAAATGTCAATGTATATTTATTTTGTGTTGGTTGCATTTTCCTCCTTTTAACATGGCTTGCATTCCTGTGTTTTGTATTTGTATAGTAAAAGTTTCTTTCAAAGTTATTTGTAAGAAACGAAAATGGGAAAATCATCACGTTATCACTTTCATTTCTGTGTGCTACAAAGAGTATATAGCAATCGCCAAGTCTTTTAAACAATTGTATTCCATTCATGCATTTTATACTATCATAATCAGCTTTTTGCTTTTCATAATCATGTGTAACAATGTGTTCTTATAAGCATTTTTCAAATGAAGATGCTTTATTATTTTTTCCATGGGTATATTCTATATTTCAAAAATAAAAAAAAAAATATCTCGAAACTTATTTTTTTTACTGGAATGGAAAAGAACAGAGTTCAATTGTAAGCGGAAAGTTCATTCTTCATCGCCATATCAAGTATATCAGTTCATCTTACAAGTAATCACTCTTCAATACTACGTAGAACCTTTTTGCCAATAGAACTGTGCTTTAATATAGAGTCCTTTCCTTCAGGGGTGGGGATTAACGGTGAGATCCTGATCATTCACAATGTGTCCAGGTATTGTGACGGGATCTATGAGTGTGTGGCGTTCAATGACGTCCCCCCGGCCGTCAACCGCGTCATGAGCGTCATGGTGGAATGTGAGTACAACTTACTATACGTGTTAGGAGTGTTTGTTACAATTTAGTTTAACGAGGCCGAGTCTAATTCGAATGCGCCTGACTTTGCGCAGCTTTTTAATTTCATACAGTCATTTGTGCGACAGTACACCTTTGCAAAATATTTTGATTTTAATACCAAATTAACATTATCTGTAACTCATTTTGGTCTGAAAATGTGATTTTACGACAATAATTGGGGAAAAAACCCTGAAATTGCTCTAACGACGTCACCATTTCCGGAATTTGTAAGCAATGTATGACGCTGAAGAATGACGCATGACTATGTTCAAGACGTCCATGGATATTATACTAAAAACTAATGACAGAACATCCTAAGAAACATATTAGCGATCTAAACATTGCTATTTTTATGAATAAATGACATTTTTACAATTCAACAGTGTGTTACTGGTTCTGCCTGTCTGGGCAAAAAACAAGCTAAGTCAACTGGCAAGATATTTCTGCAACCAACGGAACATGAATGTATTTATACCGTTAGAGGTACTGGGCTTTGAAAAATAGTAACTTAGTAATGAATTCCTAGACCAGCCTAGATGGTGAATTTATTTTTGAAATTTCACAATTTGGTGACTTTTTACAATAACTCTTATTTATTTGAATGAAAAAGAAATCTCTAGGGCAGAAATCCGGAAAAAAAAAATGGGAAAAAATGTGATAATTTGGCGCTTTTCCAACAAATTCCCATAGGGTCCAATAGTAAAATTTGACAACTTTTGAGATGGCCCCCTAAGAAATTGGGATGGTAAACATTCGATTTTTTAATCTTAAAACAATAAATATAACAGTAAAAATTAATATTAAAAACATATATCAAAATTCCTAGGGCAGAAATAATTAGACTCGGCCTCGTTAATTAGAGTAAAAGGTACTGTTTTGAAAAAATATACATTATGTATCATACATCATAAGTGGGGGAAATATCTGTTGGAACTTTAGCGTCTATTTGGTTTAAATCATCATATTTATATTTAAGAGCCACAATCTTGACAGAATTAGAGTACAATGCAACAGTACGTTTGAGCCTGTGGTTTTAAGAAATCGTTTAATGCATCGAGTTTTTGAACGTATCAAATGTTTAAGCAATTAATTATTTTTATTATAAGCTTTGAACGTTATCGAGTTACTCATTATTATAGTCTGTAAGCAGAGTTTGTATTGGGAGAAAGGGTTGCCTAAAACTACTATTTTGTAAGTTCTTTGTAAGTTCTATGCGTCATATTTGAAAGTGATTTCAGCATAGGTAGCCATTAACAAAGCAGCTTTTGTTTTTAAGTTCCACCAGAAGTTTGGTTGGACAACAGGCGACTTGGACAGTCTGTTGGAAAGGAGACCATTTTAGAATGCAAAGTCACCGCCTTCCCGCAAGCAGTGTCAGCTTGGCGCTTTCAAAGCAACTTTCTCTCCAACTCGCATAAACACCGTATTGACATTTACCAAGATAAAGGCCATACCATTATTCTTAGTCTGCGAATCATGAACATTACGAAGGAGGATTTTGGACAGTACTCCTGTTATGCTAGTAATGCTTTTGGCGAGGACGAGGAAGCAATGACCTTATATGGTAATTAATTATTCATCAATGATCGAAGTTCTAACTGTCTTAACACTGTTGTTCAAGAATTTAAATTAATACATGTATGTTATTTTTATGAATTTCAATATCCTTCCTTCAAAGAATTTCTTTAATTTTCTATATTTTGAAATAGTGAAATATAATTTTATAAGCAAAGTTGTTTTTAGGACTTAAATTGCATTGGAGCATTCAATTATGCATACAGGAGGTGTTAGCAAAATTTTATAATAGATATTTATATAACGTACAAAATATATGTCAGGAGAGTACCCATAACAAAAAAAAAGAGTAAAAATACCGAAAAGTGATCGATTTCATCAAAAATTCAAACAATAAAAATTTGTGAATCATAAACACGAATCTTTGCAAATTCCAGAGGTTGGATGAGGTGCCTATCAGAAGTAAGAATCTCCTGTTGATCGTTCACATCTACCGTGAGCCCTATGTATTAATCAAGTTCACGTAGTCAAGTTTAGTTTTGTAAAACAATTGGTAAGAAACAAGTCAGCCAAATTTCGGCAAAGTGATTGGTTATACATATAATTGCTAACAAGGGCATCGCAAAGCGGAGCATCTCCTCGCAAAAAGCATATCTTTTAATCAAATACGCATCCGGCATCGATCCCGATGCAATTTACGTCACTTTCTGTTTTGCACATCCACAAACAATGGCATCACAATATCCCCTCGACCTCCATTGCGAGGGAATAACTAAGGTCACTGTAACGACCATAGAATTTACAAATTGTTAACTTTAAATGAGGTTGTTGAAATACCTGTAACATCAACGTATGTTTGAGTAGTCTGCCTTGGTTTTAAAAATTGATCATACTCAGGGCACACTTTTGAGAACCGAATAAGTTGGGAGACATAAACATGTCGGTGATAGCGGAATTTTACTATATGATTAAGGAAAGTTGACAATGTAAAAACTGACATCATCTCGTATTCATACAATTTAGCTGTTAGTTGATCTTCGTCGTCTAACTTGGAAAATTTCTGCTTCGTAAGATTGAAAAAAAAAAAAACAGGTCAGCTAATAAAGGAGCACAATATGTTCCCGTGGGGAATCCAACAGTTTGTTTGAAGACATGATCTCCAAATACTTCATGAATGTTTTCAATGAGGAACTCCAGCTCCAACTTCAGAATATAAACATGTTTAGACTGAGGGTGATTTTAACAAAGTAATTTTATTCAAATCCAATCAAAAAATTTGAATATTTCCGAGTTCCGTTTTTAGGTCACCTGAGTAAACTCAGGTGACCTATTGCTATCTATTGTCGTCCGTCGTCGTGCGCCGTGCGTTAACATTTGAACATTTTCAGCTTCTTCTTTGCAACCACTCAACCAATTTTGACCAAATTTGCCACAAAGCATCTATGGGTGAAGGGGAACAAAAATTGTGAATTTCATGGTCCCTGCCCCCCTGGGGCCTGAGGGGTGGGGCAAAAACCTGTTAAATTAATGAAATCTTTAAAAATCTTCTTCTTTACTCATGGACATCAAGCAGTCAAACTGTTTGCATGATTGTAATCAGCATTGAGTCCTCTACCAAAATTATGAAATTCATGGCCCCAGGGTCAGGGGTCTAGTGCTAGGGCGGGGCTAAATTTATTACATGGTGAAAATGCATAAACTCTTTGAGAATCTTCTTCTCTGCTCATGGGCATTAAATAAACTAACCAAGTACATAGTTATATTGAATAAGGTGGTCTCTACCAAAATTGTGAAATTCGTGGCCCCTGGGTCAGGGGTTCTAGTGCTAGGGCGGGGCTTTATTAATTATATAGTGAAAATACATTAATTCTTTAAAAATCTTCTTCTCTACTCCTGGGCATTAAATAAAGTAACTCCTGGGCATCAAATAAAGTAACTAAGTACAAAGTTATGTTGAATAAGACTGCCTCTCCCCAATTTGTGAATTTCAGGGCCCCTGAGTCAGGGGTTCTTGTTTTAGGGTGGGGCTCTAGATTATAATTATAGTGAAATGCATGAATTCTTTGATCTTATCCTTTGCTCCTGGTCAATATGCTAATGATCTAATTACATATTTAAGGCCAGGATTTATTTTATTTTCAGTTTTACAAACCCTCCGCTCAAGGTTTTGAATTTTCCAAAAAAAAATATTTTTTTTTCCGATTTCAAATTTCAGTCGGGATCGAGATTTCAAATTTACGAACTCGCACTTCCGGTTTAAGATGAAACGGCGGGTAATTAAATAAAGCTAGATCTGCGAAGATAGCTTGGTTTAGTGTAAAATTCATCGATAAGAGTGCCATTCAAAACGTTTCACCAGTTCAAAGGACAAATAAAATTCTGACGACTTTGTTGCACAATGACATGCTGGTGAGATAATTATGTATTCGTTTCAAAAATTTCTGTAAATTATTTTCCTTCCACAGGTTTTAAATTGCCCGTGGTAGCTATTGCATATTGCCAGCGACATTGTTTAGGTCTCTGTTATAGCTTACAGTCTAAGCATCAGGTTTGCTTATGCATCAGATGTAATGAATAAAACTATGGGAGAAGTTAAGTCCATTTAAGGAAGAAATAAACAATAACTTGAAGAAATAAAAAAAAATTCAACTAAACAAATATATACAGGCATGTAGTATCATTTGTATCAGCCAGAATTTTACACTAAATTGAAAAAAATGTTCACCCAACAATAACTGTCTGTTTTATGATGGAATTATAATTTAGGTATCAAGTATATTTTAGAACAATCACATTCACCTAACACATATAAAAAATTTATATTGAAAGACTTTTAAAGAATTGATTTTTTAAAATATATTTTGATCAACATCACAAAATTTATATAACTTGCCCAAACTGGCATATGATGAAATAAGGAATTAAATGTTCTACTTTCCTATTTGTAAGCAGTGTCCAATGGTAAGGAGCCTATTAGGATAGCATAAAAAAAGAATGTTCAAATGTTGATAATTGATTTATCCAAAAAATCTTTTTTATTTCCTTCTCCCTCGAGACTTTTTCATTCTCATGTTCATAACTAAACCTAAAAATAAAAAAAATTTTGGCTGTAGGATGAAGAAAGGGGCCTCTTTCAAAATAGATAATTTCAGGGCTGCTGGGTCAGACCAGGGGTTTACTTTGAGCTGTGCTCTTTGATAACAATAGTGCCTCTTTCAAAATTTTGAATTTCATGGCTTTTGGAAATTAGCAATCACTGGAAAGTTGTTACATGATACTCAGGTGACCTATAAGGCCCGTGGGCCTCTTGTTATTGAAGAAGATTTATCAATGATATTCAACGATATATGATATACTTAGCTCAAATGAAGCAAAAAGACAGGTTTCCTGTAAGGAGGTTTATTGTGTTCACATTATTTGAACATTCCTGAAAGACGTACTTAAGACGCTGGGTACTTTTGTAATTTATCACGATCTTTTTTTAATTGAAGGAGACTAATGCTGCAAGAAATGGAAATTTAAAATATTTGTTTTAAAATGCATATTTTCAAATTCACTTATTTTAAATGTGCTCAGTCAGAATGAATGTTTCTCCAGTAAATCAGTTCTAGAGTCAGTTTTATTCTAGAACTGATTTATCTGAGGATTATCTGGTCAACATATAAACTTGATTGTCAATACTGTAGCATTGGAATTAACTGAACGTTGCTAATATTACGAAAATATCTTCAAATTCGTAATCACAACAAAATGCTTTAAATGAAAAAAAATACTTTATAGAGTTCATCCCTGCAACCAGAGCAAAACCAGTGACCACAACATCAATCCCTAGATTTACGACAACCTTTAGCAAGAGGACCAGGATAGCAAAGCCCTCAGAATATGACGACTTCATCCCATTCAATCCAAACGGAAACGGACATAACCCGGGTAATGATACATTAAACGACGGACAACAAGTTGGAATTAAGTGTACCGGCGCCATTGTTAGAATTTGTACGTGAAATAAGCATGTTTTAGAGGGGTTTGGCGCATGTCTGATTTGTCTGAATTCAATTCTTTCTCATCTCTCAATTTAACATCCTGCAACTCTTGGGAACTTTTAACCCTTTTCCTATCAACTATAAACAACGTATGAAAAGTTGTGTAAAAATCAGGACTTTTTCAGTCCTGTCTCTTCAAGATTTATGACCAAAGTGAAAACTTTGAATAAGAAAATCAAACTTCTAACTGAATGTTATTGAGTGATATCGAGGTTTTCTTTCTGATATTTTGTTGCATAGGGTAAAATACGGAAACCCAATTCCTCTCTCATTCAAAAGCTGTCACTAATTCTTTTTTTTTCAAAAGTTCTTCGCACTTTAAGGTCAAGGTCAATGTATCTAATAATTTTAATCTTTATTCAGGTAGTATAGGCAATTATACAATGTATATGAACATTGAGGTGTGAGTATTGAACACGGATAAAAATTATAAATATACATAATTTAAGAGATAAGTTATAAATAAGTTAAGTTCTAAATCACAGTGAACTTGAAAAGGCCTAGACACATGTTTTGCACATCAATATAAAAATCCTAACTTTCAAAAGATATGAAGAAGTTAAACCTTTTGAAAGTGCTGTAGGTTAAACGTCATATATATCTTGGGTTTTCACGGTGTGTGGAAAACTGTGGTAAAACTGTATCACAGATTAAAGGAAATTTTTGCATGTATCCCATTTTATTTATTCAAAATAAAGCTTTGTTGAAAATATTTTTTCAATTAGCACAATTCTATCCTCATTTGGGCGAATTTCAAACGGGGCGAAATGAAATAATACATATAATTTCTGTAATAAAACTATGAATGGGCGAATTTAAAACGGGGCAAAATTATTTGCAGGTGTGAAAGGGCGAAAATTAAACGGGGCAAAAATAAGTAATGTGCTCGTGAAATATGAAAGCCCTATCATTTTTCATTCAAAAGTTATCAATATTATTTGTAATGTTACGTTTTTTCGGACAGACTGACTGACAAACGAATGAAATTCAATGTTCCCTCTCTTTCACGCAAGCGGGGAAAATATATAGATAATGATTACCATCTCTTTCGATGCATGTTTTCACGGTGTGTGAGCAAAAACCTATGCCACTTTAATAACTTTATTTAAGTCATGCAACCCCGTAAACAAGCAGACAATATAAAAATATATATATATATTCATGATATATGTATTCATTTGCATGTATCCCACTGAGATGCGTTAATTAAAATATTCAAAATAAAGTTCTGTTGAAAATATTTTTCAATTGTAATTTTATGCAATTCTTTGTATTTATATATTAAACGATTTGGACTTTCAGTAAGGCATGACATTCTTGACGTTACATTAGCGTCTGAAAATTACAGTCTTTCATTCACTGTTGAAATATACATTGTGTGGTAGAAATTCGGGCTAATGTCAATGAGTCTACCCAATGATAGGATCCAGTGATAGCGTTCTTACGGCAAAGAGGTAGGGCTTAAATCGTCTCATCGTTGTCAACAACCATTTAAAGTTGCTGGTGTTATTAATTTCTTAATCAACGAGAATCTATTCGCCATTTGAGAGACGCTAATTAGGTAGCGTCAAGAATGCCACGCCTTAATTACTGAAAGTCCAAGGGTGTCAGAGAAGTGCACTATTTTGGTCGACAATATTTACGTGAAACTACCATCGGACATACAGTGTAGTAATATCAATTTATGGTGACACGCAAAAAAATGTTCAGATAATTTACGGCGCTATAGTATTTTACACAATAGTGAAAATTGGACTGTTTTGTGTGACATTTATATTATATAGTAATGTCACTTGATAAGGGTGAAAATATAATACAGTGTTAATATATCAAAATAGAGAATGATTTAATATTCTAAAGCACTGTATACAAAATCGATGAAAATAATTTTTAAAGGGAAAATATTATGTAAAACTTACCAACAATTTCAATATTAAATTATGCATAGACTGTTTAATTTTCCCCGTAATATTTATAGATTTACCGGTATTTATTAATATAATAATATTTTTGTGGCTTACAGGTGCACCATACACCATGAGCAAAAGCAGCGGCGGGCAAACACATTTATTTCACAACGGAAATTGGATCATTTTCATGATTGTTTCTTTTAATTTTGTAATTGACATTTTCAGTTTCGTGAAATTATGAGAATAAAGCCCAGTTTGTATTTTAGCCTAGCAGTATTATTTAAATTATTTATGTCGAGTTTTTCACTTAATCAATTTTGTACAGTATTTTGAAAGTTGTTTTATAATATTTGTAAGATGGATGTATGGATTCTTTCTTTGCTAATTGAAAATTGACTGTTGAATGATGCATTTGCCTTTCACACCATGTTATTCTGATTAAGTCTGGTACTGTAAGCCTGTTCTTATTAACAGATTTGTAAGACATCTATTATTCATGATTCCATATGTTTAACAGAAAACATTTCAATTTTTGTCAGCATTTATCTTCGGGTTGTGTATCACAAAGATCTTGACTCCTGTGTTTTCTACCAATGCTTTTTAAACACATTTCGCTTATTGTCATTCTGGTGTATATTTGGGAGAGCTTATTGTTCTTTTAAAATTTGATAAGTTGCACTTTTATGCAAATATTTTTTTAAAATTAGAAATGAATGATCTTTTTTTCTATTTTGCCAGAATTTTCTGAGAACTACGAAGTTTTTTTTCTACGCAAGAAAACATCCACTTATGTCGGCCTGCTTCATTGATTTATGATAAAATGTTTTATTTCCCTTTCTGCATTTTTTTTAGGTTATTGCCTGAAGCATACTTTATAGCGACTGTGTGATTTTATTTTATTTTATTTTTTATTAATTAAAATTCGGCTTTCAGGAAGATATTGAGATAAAAAGGATACATCCAGTACCGTCTATCAGAAACGAGTGTGAGAGAAATGCATTAAGATGAAAAAAGATTTGCTTTATTGCTTTTGGAAGTTTGAAAACTTATATGCGTTTAGAAAGTTTAATTGATAAATAAAGAATGCCTTTTCAAGGACGGATGATACAAACAAACAAGAGGTCCATGGGCAACATCGCTTACCTGAGTAACTTTAGTGATGCCGTTCTTTACCAGATTTATCCCCTTGCAATACCTATTGTGGCCTCGCCTTCCCTGGGGGTTACAATTTTAACAATTAAGAATCTACATTACTCCGGGATGCTACCACATAATTTTCAGGATTTTTGATAAAAGTGTCTAGCCCAGCGGTTCTTAGAAGAAAATTTTATAATTTTTTTCCATTTCTATATATTTCTATTTTTAAAACTTTTTATTTTACATTTCTTCTTTATGGCCGCGCATAACCCCCGGGGGTCATGATGTGAACAATTTAGAATCAACACTATCCCAGGATGCTTCCACGTAAGTTTCAGCTTTTCTAGCCCAGTGGTTCTTTAGAAAAAGATTGTTAAAGTTTTTTCCTGTATATTTCTATGTAAAACTTTGATTCCCTATTGTGGTCCCGCCCAACCCCCGGGGGTCATGCTTTGTACAATTTAGAATCAACAATACCCCAGGATTCTTCAACATACGTTTCAGCTTTTCTGGCCCAGTGGTTCTTGACAAGAAGATTTTTAAAGTTTTTTCCTATATATTTCTTAGCTGCAGATCTGTAGCTCTCCGAAAAAAATATATATTGATAGTAGTTGACATCCGAACGAAGCATATTGGACCGAATTATCTTTGAAACCAAAATGGCAGTATAAATAAGCGAAATGTTCGATGATTACAATATCAGGGTCAGGAGGACTATTAACAACAATTATGAGGAATGTTTGGTTGTGGAAAAAGCGAAAGAATATGTTAGGAACACACGGTTAGTAATATTTTGAGATTACAGTTTGAAAAACATGGAGAAATAAATCGAGAACCGAGCGCGCTTTTTTGTGCGCAATAAATATACAGTTTTTTTCAATGGGTGGCACTGTAGCTCTCCGGTCTATCAATATTTTTGTTCGGAGAGCTACAGACCTGCAGCGATATATTTCTATGCAAAACTTGGATTCCCTATTGTGGCCCCGCCCAACCCCCGGGGGTCATGATTTGTACAATTTAGAATTAACACTACCCCATGATGCTTCCACATGTTAGCATTTCTGGCCCTGTGAGAGGAAGAATTTTTAATGACCCCACCTAATTTTTGTCTTTTCTTGATTATCTCCCCTTGTGAGGGGTCTTGGCCCTTCATTTTAATAATGTTAACTCCCCTTTACCTAAGAATGCTTTGTATCAAGTTTGGTTAAAATCAGCCCAGTGGTTCTTGAGAAGAAGGCAAAAATGTGAGAAGTTAATAGACGGACGGACTTCTCTGTTACAAAAAATGTGAAATTTAATTAATTTTAGCCTTTGGCTCAGGTGAGCTAAAAATGGATGCTTAAATTTTTTTATATTTTGGGCCTTTTTTGTTATTGATGAGAACATTAAATTTTTAAAATATTAAGAAATTGTTAATTTTCTATGATGAATAAATTTCACCGTTTTGAAATTATCCTTAATAATCTAAATCACTTAGTTCATAAACTCTATGGGGTTAAACATCCTAGTATTCATTTGATTTATACAAACATATATTAACTTTTATTTTCACGATTTTTGATAAAAGTTTGTTCGTATCATCTGTCCTTAAAAAGCATTAACCCTTCGTATACATTTTTCTCTCTTACATTTCTGTACATATCTTTAGCCAATCTTTATAAAATTTTTAGATTTTAAATTTATCCTTTATCACGTGTCATGTTTCAAGTTATTGTTTTTGTAATCTGAATAAAAGTTAATTAATAATTATACATTCTGATGACCTTGAAGAACGAACTTATAAAAGACGACCAGTTTTTACACCTTGTCTTGCTTGTATTTCTACTATTTGGTACACATATAGCAGCTTATGATCGAATATTATTTATCATTGTTCGGAAGTTATGTTAATTTCTGATGACTATAAAGTTATTTTTATAATGATTTAGTTACGTTCTATTTTCGGTGACGAAAATTTATTGGATTGCAACCGGAAAACAAAATTATCTGCTAACTCAACATAATCAATTCAATTTTAGGGCATTTCTGAATTTTAGGCAACATTGAATAAATTACTTTTGAAATATTTAAGTGAACAGTTCGCATTTCAATATGGATAGAAGCAAGGCTTAAACATGTTCTTTTCAATAGCATTGTCTATAATTATAGACATATGTATGACAAAAAAATCAAGGCATAAATATCAAAAGCGTATGCTTGCACAATTTAATCATTAATAATCTGTGTCCAAGCACCTTTAATATCAAAAACAGATACATGTACACTAAAATATGAATCTCAGTGTAGTTTACTTGTGTGCCATGTTACATTGAAATCTATTTCAAACTGTAGGAGTAGCATTTTGGAAGTAATTCACAGAAATTTCTACCTCAAGTTACCCCGGCAACACTGTTCATGGAAATCACAAAATGATTTAGATGATACATGTATGCACATGTATCTTATTATAGTCTACTTGTGTCCTAGTTATATTGAAATCTAACAGATACTGTAGGAGTAGAATTTCGGATTAATTTCACAAAAATGTCAATTTTTAGTAACCATGGCAACGTTCATTGAAATCAAAGACCGATAAACAGAATTTATGTATCGTAGTGTAGTCTACTTGTGTGTCGAGTTGCTATATAGTATATTGAAATATGTCCAAAACTGTTGGAGGACTGACGGACGTCTCTGATCAGTAGGGCTAAAACAAAATGAAATTCAAATAAACATTACATTTTATATTTAGCTCCGAAACAATGTCCGAAAGAGCAACCCTACGGAACTCCATTAATTAACCTATATATATATATATATATATATATATATATATATATATATATATATATATATATATATATATATATATATATATATATATATATAATAATATTTGAATTAATTCATTTTGACGGATTTTAAATCAATGTACAGTGTATTTTGACATTTGTTAAAACGAATTGAATTCGTTTAATCGAATTCTTAAATTTGATATTATGGATTATATTTTTTTTAATCTAACTCGACATTTATTTTATGAATTCAATATAACAAATTATCGAATTGATTTTAACGAATCCAATTCTTTATAACAAACATCCGCATCCATTTAAAAGAATTTTAGATAAAACATTTAAATATATTCTGTCAGGTCCTAATGGGATTCCGTTAAATCCTATTCATCACAACAACTAAAACTATTATGGTAATGAGACACAGTAATTCGGTTGACATTTTCCCTGCACTGGAATGGGAAAAATTCTAAAGGACCCATATCCAAGGTGTTAGTGGAGGTACATGTAGTTTTTTATAGAAGATTTCTGCACCTTTTTATTCTATTATAACAGCTGTTATAATGGATAAAATGGCAGAGAAAGGAGATAAAAGAAAGGTTCATAAAGTTTGGAAACACCTTACATTTGTTCTTGGGGCGTTTTCCTTAGTGCTCTTGATCGCGATTTCAGTGGCTGTTGTTATAATCAGTAGAAAAAAATCTGAGCATATCCCAGATTGCTTTGGAATTCCTGCTTCCGGTCCAATAGATTTGACGGAGCCGGATTCACCTCCTGCTTTCCACGACTTGACCAGGGAAGAAATTCAAACTATTTTGGATTTTATGTACTCATTGAAAAAATTGAATCTAACAGAACCTCCAAATGCCACCATTGACTCAAATTATATATACTCTGTGGAACTTGTTCTTCCCAAGAAAAGCAGTATCATTCAACCTTATCCCGAGACATTAATGAAGAGACGTGCATTGGTGACGATATTTAAGGGAGCTAACTCAAAACCAGATGTTTTAGAGTACCGGGTAGATATAACATCATCACCACCAAAGCTACTGTCCACTAAGTCTGTCCCCTTTTCTTTCCGACCATTATCTTTCACAGAGTTTGTAGTCTCTGAAAGTGTCCTCAAAGAAGAGTGCAGAAATGTTGTAGGAGACATTTTGCAGCAAAGTTTCGGAGGAAATCTTTTAAATTGTGGTAATAAATGTTTAGGAATCGCAGCTATTGTTCCTTTTCCTTCTCACATAGCCGGAATACGCGGTCAAGGTTATCGCGCTATGTGGGCTCTATTCCTGCAAATGAAAGAACCAAGCGACCTTCATCCAGTTGATTTTGCTGTCCTTCTGAGAATGAATGGAACTGCTAGACCCGAAACCAGTGACGTTTGGTATAACAATAGATTGTTTGATTCATTAAAAAGTTTTAAGGAGAAATGGTACAATGGAGAAGTTGCCAAGCAGCGCGTTGATTTCCCGCCTTCTCATACACACACTGAAGTCTTTCCCGAATACCCACAAAGACCTCCTATTGAGGTCGAACCAGATGGAAAACGGTACACCATAAAAGACCGGAAAGTGACCTATATGAACTGGAACTTTCAGTTTGGAATATCTATTACGCATGGTCCCCAGTTGTACCAAATCAAATTTAAAGATACTCTAATTGTTTATGAGTTGGGATTGCAAGAAATTTTGGTCTTTTATTCGTCGTCAGATCCATCCAGAATGTTTGCCAACTACTTTGACAGCCTTGCATTGATAGGAGACAATATACGTACTCTGGTTCCTGGGGTAGATTGTCCGAACCATGCGACTTTTATTGACTTTGCGCACATGTCGGAATTATCAAGAGCACCTGTTACGGAAAGTAATGCCATATGCGTATTTGAACATAACACGGGTATTCCGCTCCGACGCCATCATGGACTTTATGAAGCCCCTTCCGGGTATTATGAAGGTGTACCAAATATTGTTCTTATTCTTCGAATGATTACAACAATCAGTAATTATGACTACATATTTGATTTCATCTTTTATCAAAATGGAGTTCTTGAAACTAAGGTGACATCAACAGGGATCATCCTTACTTCTCCCATGATATCACAAAGAAAATACGGCTTTCAGCTAAATGACCGTTCTATTGGTACCATACATCATCACATGTTTCATTTCAAAGTTGACATTGATATAGGCGATTCCATCAATAGCTACTCGACTTTTGACATAGAAAGAGACAGCATTGAAAATCAATTCTCAAGAGAGAAAAATCCAGATAAATGGCACCAAGAGAAGATCGTACAAGTAAACTATGCTACTGAGAGAGAGGCCGCATATAAATTTAACTTCAGCATCCCAAAATACCACGTGTTCTACAGTGAAGACGATACTCACAAGGACAAATTCGGTAATCGGAGAGCTTACAGACTACTACATCGGGGTTTGTCAAAAAGTGGGTTACAAGAAGGTTACGGAAATGAACCTGGGGCGTCGTGGATGAGGTACCAAATGGCTGTCACAAAACGCAAAGAGACCGAACCTTACAGCTCATCCAAATATGCTAGCTTTGATGGAGAACAACCAACCGTGGACTTCGAAGGTTTTATTGGGGACGAAAATATACAAAAAGAGGTAACTCTTTTGTCTTTTAATCTTGCTCAAGAGAAAGAATTTGAGTCATTTCAGATAACTGAGGTTTTGGTCTTAGAACTTTGTTCAATTCAAATAGCGTTTCATTCAAGAGAAATCATTACTCTTCAAAGGGAACAGAGATCAAGACCTTTTATAGAGTATATAGTAGTTCAAATTTATACTTGTTTCTCTATTCTAGGATCTGGTTGCGTGGGTCACCATGGGGACCCATCATATTCCCCACACAGAGGATCTGCCCGTAGTGACGACACCCGGAACTGACGTCAGCTTCCTCCTGCTGCCATTCAACTTCTTCCATGAGGATCCAAGCATTGGTATCCGTGACAATATCCGCATTCATTACGAAAATATCCAAAATCCATCGGAGCCATTAACAATTAAGAGGCAAACAAAAGCGGAAGACCTGAATTGTTTACCTCCAAAGACGTATAGTCTTGATGACCTTAAAGTAAAACCCGAGGCATTTATCAGCCGTATGATTTAGATTGTTTAAATTCAACAATTACTTTAAACAGTTATAATTACTCATGTACATTTTAAATAAAAAAAAAAATTATGAAAGTTTTATTTCTGTAACCAAAGTATACCGTTTTGATAGTTCATATGCAGTGCATAAAAGTAATAATCAAGTTTATGACTGTTTATTTGTTCTGAAGTCTCTGTATGTTTCTAGGAACAATCATCTTCGCTAGTCAAGGGTTTTTGTCTCCTCACGAAGCGCCGCGGATATGAAAGCCTTGGTTACCGAAGATGAATGTAGGTTAAATAGTGAAAAGTGTCCAGCTATTGTACAGAGACGTCATGGTACCTTTTGAAGGAATAATATATCAAGTTATACATTTTACAAGAAAAAGACTACGATTTGTAAATGGAACAACTATCCTCAATGCATGTATAAACTATTTGTGACGCTTTTTTAAAAGTCATTGTTTTGGCCATTTCATAGTATGATTAATTCCAAGTTCTCCCACTGACTCATCCTCAAAACATCGAGTCCTGAGTCAATTTATGAATCATTTTTTTAAAACAGAGAAATCCTTACTCATCATAACACATGCACAGTTTGCTAAATAACCAGCCTTGGGGACAGAGAAAAATCACTTTCAAAGAAATAATGCATTTTAACAATATGATCAACAGAGTCCAGTCCTAAAACTAGACACCCAAATCAGAGGCCAGAAATTTCACATTTTTAGAAAAGGCAAAATAATAGTTGTGACCTGTCTTTCATCAACTAAGGTCATTCACGTCTCGAGTTTGAACCCACGACTCTCAGATCACAGAGCAGAGATTTTCAAAGAAATAAAACATTTTTATTACATAACCGACAGAACTAAGACCTAACACTTAAAACCCAGAACTTGGGGCCATGCATCTTACAACTAAGCACTAAATACAGTATGTTTGCTTAAACAAAGGGCAGAGCAGCAGATTTTCAAAGAAATGATGCAGCAGTTTCATTACAATATCACCATCTTCCTTTAAAATTTCATTTGGGGAGGGGGGAAGGTCATCGACATTAAAAGCAAAATTTTATACATGAAGGATGATGAAGCTAAAAACAGTCCTATTGCCTCCTGGTTCATTTACTGATGCTCTGATTCATATTACTAAAAATTTTAAAACCCTAGTCTATTTGTTGACAGTTTGTGGGAGGTAAATCTGTACAATTACAACCTTGATTTCAGACAAAACCAGAATGTTCAGGTACAGAACAAACTGATGAAAGTTTCCATCATCAATAACAACAAAGAAACTTCCCCTGAATTACATGTAATAACTGGAGCATTCACAAACTTTATTACATTCTTCAACTTTTCATACAAAATACATGTTCTTTGTGAGATTCTTTGAAATACATGTAATCAGTACATACATGTAATCAAATGGATTTTTATTAACGACTATGTCTTACTGTAAATCAATACATGACAGACACACCAATGTAATACATGATTTGACCAGCATATTAGTAAAACCCTCAAGGTAACACAATATTTAAAGAGTGGCACATTGTACACCCCAAAAATATCTTAATTAAAAAAAATTATATAAAGAAAAAAAAAATATTTGGAATCAAAAAACAAAAAGTCTTGTAACTGCTACATAAAATGATAGATGTCATTCAATACTTTTGTTATAAAAAATAATCTCTTTCCTCTTGGTTGATCCAGCTTTCCTTCTTTTAGCACTTTATATTGTTTAGCACTTCAAACTGTTACTAGTTTATCACAGAAACATTTTTGTAGAGTTTGTGTTATTTATGTATCACTCAAATTTGATTCCTTGGGCTAAGGGTAGCTCTGTACTGTAGTTAATTGTGCTGAAAGAAAAAAAATGTGTAATGTGAATCTAAACACAGTACTGTGTGCATACTTATCCTAGCCTATCTAAAATTGAACTTTCTGTATATTTTCAATTCCAGACAACCAATCAGATATAGCCTTGTCAAAGCTTATATATTCATCACCGGACTTTCTATTTTGGATGTAATCAAGAATAAGCATGCTGCCAACAGTGAACAAGATGCTATAATATGAGTTCTTGGATTCAAGTCCAAATAACACACCACTGATGCACATGACTGTTCAAGTTTTCCACTTAAAATGTAACAAAGAACTGCAAGAAGTTTAAATGCATCAATAAACATAGGTAATCAGAGATTACAGAGCTCACCTCAACGAATGTTGTCTTTAAGTAAGGCAAAGTCACACAATTAACCAACAAAAAGTGTACATTCCAGAAATGAAAATATTTAAGCAATTTTGATCGAATACATCGAAATAGACCTACATAAAAAGTTTAAACTAGTTGTTCATGAAAATGTAATTAAAATTAAGCATCTGAAGCAAATTTGAGAGTTTTCTGTGTGCAAGTTTGGTTTGGTTTATACAATGTTATATAAGCCTTCAAGTTTTTTGGTAATTGACCTGCACCCATAACTTTTACCCGGTCTAAAAAAATGTATGTCGAATTCAGCATCCAAAGTAAGTCCATTAGTGTGCATCCTAAGATGTATCGTCCATGCAAGTTTGCTCATTATTAATTGGAAATGATACATTCATCACAAACTAACATTTTCACTCATCCACAAAATGTAGGTCAGATTCAGCATCCGAAGCAAGCCTGGTAGTATGCATCCTTAGATGTATCATCCATGCAAGTTTGGTCAACATATGGTTTATAGTTACTTGGAAATGAAACCTGCACCAAAAACTTTAACCTGTTCACTCAACCAGAAAATGTAGGTCAGATTCAGCATCTGAAGCAAGCCCGGTAGTATGCATCCTTAGATGTATCATCCGTGCAAGTTTGGTCATTAAAGAAGTCATAGTTACTTGGAAATGAATTATGCATCAAAAACTTTAACCTGTTCACTCAACCGGAAAATGTACATTGTAGATCAGATTCAGCATTCGAAGCAAGCCTGATAGTATGCATCCTTAGACGTATCATCCATGCAAGTTTGGTCAACATAGGGCTTATAGTAACTTGGAAATAAAACCTGCCCAAAAAAATTTAACCTGTTCACTCAACCGGAAAATGTAGGTCAGATTCAGCATCCGAAGCAAGCCTGATAGTATGCATCCTTAGATGTATCATCCGTGCAAGTTTGGTCAACACAGGGCTTATAGTTACTTGGAAATGAAACCTGCACCAAAAACTTTAACCTGTTCACTCATCCGGAAAATGTAGGTCAGATTCAGCATCCGAAGCAAGCCCAGTAGTATGCATCCTTAGATGTATCAACCATGCAAGTTTGGTCAACATAGGGCTTATAGTTACTTGGAAATGAAACCTGCACCAAAAACTGCACCAAAAATGTTAACCTGCTCCAAAAACATTAACCTAGCCATTCCTTTGCTGAAATTGCAGCATCTGAAACTTTGACTGGTACAATGAAACACATTAGAAGCATCTTCCATGCATGTCTAATCAATATAGGACATAGAAGTACTTAAAAAGAAAACTGCTCCAAAAAACTTAACCTGGGACGCCAACGCCGACACCGACACCGACGCCATCGCCGAGGGTATTACATAAGCTCCCCCAACTTCGTTGAGGTGAGCTAAAAATGTCCCCCTATTTTAACCTTAATTGAACCACATGATCCATTTATTATCAGAAAAATTAGATCCTTACTAGTACTCTAGAATTTTCAAAATGAATGTAATTAATTGTAGCCCTCAAAATTAATTTTTAAAAAGAAATAGAATCCTAATGACTTTCCATTTAAAAAGATTATCCCCTATTGTGGCCCTAACCTACTAACTGGGGGATGACATTACTTGAATAAATTGGAATCTTGCAGATTTTTCCCACTGAATTACACCATTGGAATGTCAATTTTGGACATCAATGAGTTAAACACAAACAGCTGTGCTGACAAACTACTGAACCCATATTTTGGTGTATTAAACATTTGTTTGCACAACCATCTGATTGAACCTTTTGAACTCCACATCAAAATAATTGGAAATGATTGGAAAAGTTCACTTGAGCTTTTAGTGTAGACAAGGAAAATTTCAAGTTTTCTTCCCAAGTGAATAAATGTTTATTTTGTGTAATGTTTGATTACCATGTGGACCTCCTCATGTACTGCTTCCAGGCATCACTTCCAGATTCCCTGCCACCCCCAGTCTCCTTCTCACCACCTGATAGGAATAAAATCAACATTATCAATATAATAAAATCAACATTTATACTACAACAAAATCAACATTATCAATATAACAAAATCAACATTATTGATATAACAAAATCAACATTATCATTATTACAAAATCAAAATTTATATTAATACAAAATCAACATTATCATTATTACAAAATCAACATAATAATTATTTACAAAATCAACATTTTCATTACTACAAAATCAACATATTTATTTACAAAATCAACATTATCAATTCATTATCACAAAATCCACATTATCATTTATAATATCACAAAATCAACATCATCATCATTTTAAAATTAGCGTTACCATAATTAAAAAAAATTATCATTTACAAAATCAACACGATCATTATTATATTTCTACAATATAAACTTCTGTTGTATGATAAGTAAACTTTGCAAGAAATTTAGAATTTTAATAAAGTTTCATCTCCATCACTTAAAAAAAATTCTTTAATACCTCATAAGTTGGATTTTTATCATTTCTCAGAAGAAACACGAAGTATTTTTTCTTACCAAATGCTCCTCCTATTTCTGCACCACTTGTTGGAATATTCACATTTACAATGCCACAGTCTGATCCCTTAGGTCTGAAAAAAAAAAATAAATATACAGTTAAACTTCGATATCTCAAACAATGATATCTGAATACTATGGAGATACTGAAGTGGTCTGGAAGTTCCAACAGCTTCTTCTTCCTTATGCTTTTTTCCCCCTGGATATCTCAAATTCTTGGATATTTCAATTGAAAGTATTTTCTCAGTCCCGACTGTGTTCAAGATAACAAGGATTGACTGTTTATGATAAATTGAACACATTTGAGGAAAAACGCTATAAAATTATTGTGCATAAAAACGTACCCCAGCCATCTAAATATGGCATTCATATCCTTAGTGAATAAACTGCTGGATAAGCCCTGCTTGACTTCATTGTTAAT